AAAATTAACATTTTTATTTATAAATTAATAAAATTAACATATTTAAATAAAAAAATACAATTAACATTCTTACTTTACATTTTCTCTATTTTTTGAACTTAAATACAATGGAAATATATTGAAACCATATTTTATTTCGGAATTTTCCACATAGGAAAATTTATCAAAAAAGAAATAATTTCGTGGTCGAATTCCTCTAGCCTCAAGAACTCAAAATTCACACTGAGAAATAAGAATGAATGGCAGACAGCAGTAGCCGCTGCAAGTAAGACTGAAAGGCGAACCGCATGGCTCTTCAACTATCCTGCCCTCTTCCGTTCACCGCCACCTCCTCCAGGCTCCCTTTCTCAGTAAGCCACACTCTCCACTACCTTCGACCTCAATTTCAATTAATTTCTACCTTATTTCCTCAGCAACCAAACTGATTTTTCTTCTTGCTCTTTGAAGATTACTAGCTCCCCTAAACGCGCAAATGGCTTACGGCTCATCAGTCGCCCTCACGCTGCACCCTCAAGAAGTGTTCAAGGTTCGTGTCTGCAATTTCGTGTTTTTCTATCTGTAGAAGCCGCTTTTGGATTTGTAAAATTTGGGTTATGGGTTTCAGGTAGCTACGATCCCGAGCTTCGAGGAGTGCTTGATCTTGCCACAGACACCGAGTTGTACGAGCTTCACAGAATCCTGTTTGGTCCCAGGTTTCTTTCTCTCTTTTTTGGTTGAAAGTGCCTATCTTTACATTTTTTCTGCAGTCGTTTCTGTGCTTTTTGGTTAGCTTCTTAATCTACATTTTTTTGGGAAGAGATGAAGTTTAACTTGAAAATTCAATATCTAAAATTAAGTCCTTAGCTTTTTCATATTTTCTTCTTTTGACTGTATTTGAGCAAGTTGAATTTCCATATGTTGCTTATGGATGTAGTTTTTAAATTTTGTTGGCACTCAGCTACTTTAGTCCCTTGCTAAAGTCAATCATGAGTAGAGCTGATATTGGGAATGTCATGATTGAAGACCTTGATGAACGAGAATGTTTTATAGCAGCTCTTGAATCGCGATTCTTATTCCTCGCAGCTGATGCCCGATCTACACTAAGGTTAGTGAATCACTTAGCTAGTTATAGACAAAGGTTTGCAGTCTTGGTTTTAGTTGCATTGACTAGGCCAATCTCTGTCCCTACCTCCCGCCCTTCCCCCCTCCCTTCGTCCATTCCTCTCCTTTTATTGTGGATAAGCAAAAGGGATAATCTAAATCTCATTTCAGAGTCTCTACTGATGCCAATAATTTTCACTCATCCGAAGCGAATAATCATCCATAGGTGGTGAACCACCTTATTTTTGCAATTAGACGACCAATGCTACTTTGTTGCTACTAAATCATAACCTCTTCTCAGTGAGTTCAGAAAATTGTCAAGTATAGATATTAATGTTTGCTTGTATTTTGTATTCTAAACTGAAAAATTGAGGAGGAAGTCAATTAATGGTTATTCTTTGGTATAGAAAGTGGTCATTGGTTTTGCTTTACCCTAGCCACAAACAAACAAAAAAAGAAACAATTTTGTATGATATCAGTAAATTATCTTTCTGATTGGCATGTTAGTGATTTCATTTGACCTTTTTGCTAGGGGTTGGAGGCCTTCATATAGAGATGTCTTGCTTTCTGTGAGGAAAAAATTAAATATTCCGTGCTCAAGCAAATTGTCTACTGACGACTTAGAGGCAGAAATCTTCCTTCACCTATTGCAGGATTACTCAAGGCACTTATCTAACTCTATGTCGCAGCTATTTCTTATTTAGAAGATCCTAGCATTACCATTTGCAATGATTTAATGCTGTTTAATGCTGGAAAACAAAAGCTGGTCTTAATAGTGGGCAAACCTTGATAAGTTTTTCTGTTAAGTTATTGAGTTATTCTTGTACATTGTATTTAGCTGTGGATCTTTTGACTTTCTAAACAGTAACAACTACTTGAGTGAAGCATAGATGCAAAAAACTGTAAGGAAAATGAAAACATAAAAGGAAAAGAAAGGGGGAAACATAAACATTTACGGGTTTACCTGGTGCTTGCTGTAAAATTATGTCATGAGAACACTCCTACATGATCTCCTTTGTGATATGGGTGTAGGCTGTTTCTTCTGTCATTACCTCTTATGAGGTATGGGTGATTGGCAACTGTTATGTAGAAGCTTGTACCATCTCCATCTGATAATTCATATTGGATTTCTAAAATGTTGAACTGTACTAGTGGTTTCCCCACCCTATATAATGTCATTAATTGAGCATTGCGCTGGGAATGCAGTTTGTGAGTTTGCTCTCGAGATTTGATTCAATGGGAACTGAGTAATTAATCTCTTCTTTTTGTCTCTTCCTGGGTTTATGCATGTTTATGAGTTGACTTCTGGTTTAGATTTCTAATGCTTTAAGGATAATAGTTTCTCTGAGACAAAAGGGAAATGTTTCTATAGATGTGTGATGCTGACATAACATTTATTACCATATTTAATTAGTGATGAAGCAGGCATTTTCTCAACATTATGGGAAAATTCAAAGGCTACCAATGTTCAAAATAGTCTAGAAGTTGGGCTTAGTCAGTCTGCTGTTAAAATTGGGGAAACAGAGCTTCAGTCTATCATTTTGAAGGTACTCCTTTTCTGCTTGAGCTTAGTTCATGGATGATCATTTTGATTCTTGGTATTAATCAGTCTTGATCTTCTGTTTTTTTCTAGGGAAGTAGCCTAATTACTTTGGCAAAAATTTATCAATTGGTGAGAAATTTTCTTTTCTGCTAGAAGTTTTGTTCTTTTATTTGCTCTCCTGGTTGTGTTACTAACTTTGTTTGTTGTTTTTGTAGCTGGCCAAGAAATTTGCTGGGAAAGTATTCCTTGAAGCTGCCAACTGTCAGATAAAAAAGGAAGCTCTTAGGAAGGTACATATCTCATCTAGTTTCTGAAGGGAACTTAAATATGAATTATAAAATATTGGGATGGTGCAATTTTTGTTTGAAAAGATCTTTGGATTCATTTTCTGTTTATGTGATCTGTTCCTGAATTCTGTGCACAAGTAGTTTGCTTATATGCTGAATCTCTGATTTATTTCTCTTGCATTCACTACACGACACGTGCATTGTAAGTAATGCAGAGTATCATGTAAAGTGTGCCAATTAGACATGCTGTGGAGGGTCTAGAACAGAAGTGTAGTCAAAAGAAAGATGCATGCTTTCAGTTCAAGGGTGCCAGGATGTAGCCAATTCAATTTTTCTACTGTCTTGGGCAGATTTTATTTTATTTTTTCCTATCTATTTCTTATGTTTTCTTTCTTATCGCTATTAAAGATTTTAAACTGTATAAGCATTATTCGTCTACGTTCTTGATGCAGGAGCAATATCATTCTTCTAGATAGGAGATACATCATACATGTTTGTGTTCACTTCAATCCTACTTTCGTTAACCTAAAGGAAAATATTTTTCTTTAATTTGTGAATGACTAGCATAGTTTTGTTATTATCATTTAATAAGTTCTTTTAGTTGGTGGTAACAGAGCAAGCTTTATTATCCTTTATGGTTTCTACGTTATTTTAGGCAGGATAAAATCAATAGATATTCATGATGGCTGAAGTATTAGAATATTGTAGATATCTGGGAACCTGGATTTAATTGCATTAAAATGAAGTCTTTCATTTTACTTCTTAGGGTGGACAATTAGCTGCTATTAACCTCGAATCCAGAGCAGCTTTGCTTGCAGCTAAGCAGGTAATTTTATAATGTCAATTAAAAATGCCTTTTGAAATTCTGATGATGCAGCATTATGTGGTAAAAAATGTGCTGTTTCCTGAAACATCCTTTTTCCATTTTGTACCTCTCTCTCTCTCTCTCTCTTTTTTTTTTTTTTTTTTTTTTTCTAAACCTTTACAGGGCTTTGCTGGTGCTGCATCCAGATATGTGGGTTTCAGGAGTATAATGGGGCTACTTGGTCCAATGTACTTACTCGTTCCCAACTCATTTTGCTTCCTTTATGTATTTATTTTCTTAAACTTCATCTGTTTTTGCAAATTTCTTTTTTCTTGTATACAAATCTTAGGAGTGCTTGTTGGGTGAAATGGTTTTGTTGTAATGTGAATCTGTTAATGTGCAGTGATTGGTCTAAATGGCTAAAATAGCACCTCATGGAGCTTTATTGTTTAATCATAGTGCTAGGCTAGTTCATACAAACAATTATTATCTTCTTACCTTTTTATAGTAATGGACTGCTAATTCTTTTGATTTCTGCTTCCATTTTTGTAAGCCAGATATATTTATTTGGTCAAGACAGCATACTGACAGTGTGCCTAGTTTAATTCCCTCTAGTTTCTATTGTTCCTGATGCTTTATTACTTTGTACTTTCAACTGCCAAAAGAAGAAAGTTTACTTTATTTTAGAGGAATTAGAAAAGTCTATATCAAAATAAAATTTGTGGCTTCAACTTTATGAGTAATTCTGAAGATGAAGATGCTAATTCAGAGGAAAGTGTATATGAGGATCTAGGAGATTATCAATGTTAATAAAACAGAAATAAAGGAATCTTAGAGCAGTTGTCTGATGATGACTTTTAGTTAATTATCAATAATTCATCTGTGGAATTAATTAGGCAATGGAATAAAGTTAGGTGTATACATTCATTAGATATAATAAAATAATGTTTTTAGTTTTTAATCCCTTGCACTTTTGTGATATAATGGTCCTACTCTTTGACATATGGAATGCATATGGGAATGAAATGAAGGAAAGGTCTTTGAAAGTTTACTAACAAAATTATAAGTTCGCTAGATATAATTAATAAAGGTTTGGTTTTTTTGGTCTTTCTTTGACATGATCCTACTACCTTCACTAGTGGGTAGTTTACATTTTGGTTTCTAATTGAGAGACTTGAAAATTTTAATCAATTTGTTTCACTCCAATATATTGGAAAAGCCTCTACCATCTGGTTTTTTATTAATGGGATATGCAATATAAATGGTGTCTTTTGTCTAACGTTATGGATTCCAATTCACATATATGTTAATCCGTATCCTTTGTCTGAGTTTAAACTTTATCATTGCCTGAAACTGCATGTTTCAATTTAAATCTAGAAAATGGAGAAGAGATATAGACGTTATTTGGAATTATTGGAATTTAAAAAATAGAGAAGAGAAAGATGTAGAAGGATAAATATTGGGCTTCTTCATCAATGCCAATTTTTTACATCCTAAGCTGACTTACCTGTAACAGATCTAACCATGTGTTTGACTTAATTATCAAGTCTAATCTTATTCTTTAGATACCAGTAATATTGATAATTAGTTGCATATCAATTCCTTCCCTCTGAAAAAACTTGTGTTCTCCAAGAATAAAAAATTTGATACTGCAACTTCAATCTGAAAAGAACTCTGTGCTGTATGTACAGGAGATACAGCCACTGTAACCTGACCTTAGGCACCAACTTGTCCTACAAATAGTCAAAGGTTACAACCTCAGACTGCATTAAGCTGGTTGTTGAGATATTGGCATCAAATCATTATTTATGGTTAAAGAAACTAGATGAAAGTCATTAGTGGTATTCACTTTTGTATTCCATGGTTGAGTTTAGAGATGCTGGAGACACCCTCTAAGGAATGCAAATTCTCCACATTGCAGATTGATTTCCGGCATTTATTATGCTTGTTTATCATCATGCTTCTTTTGAGCTAATTTAATTTTCTTACCCATGAAATTGCATACTTTGTTTGTGTGACTAATCCTGGTCCAGAAATGAATTGCCTTATACTTGGAACTTGGAATTTTGGATACTGGAAACTTTTTCCCATGCATATAGGATTCTTGATGAGTTTGTATCTTATTATTTTATCAATTTATGACTTTTGTTTACAGCTTAGTCATTTCATTATAACAATATAACTTATGGAGAAAATTATTTATTTGGTTTACCAATATTAGTCTATGCCTTTTGGAGGAATTCTTTTCTAAATTTGTGACTGTGTGCTATTGATTAACATTTGTTGCAGACTATGGGGAACATTTCTGGCTGATATTGTCATTCAAATGCTTGGGACTGACTATGCTAGAATTCTTCGGGCAATTTTCGCATTTGCCCAGGTAATCCATCCTAATTATATAAAACCAGTTGTGCTATTCCTAGCTGAATTGAAGTATCATCTTTTGAGTTTTCCGTCAGTTTGTGACATTCTTTTTTAAGGATAAAATTTTAATACTTTTTTTGGGTAAATTACAATACATGCATTGTGTTTTAGCCACACAAGGGTTTTCCAGGGAACAAGTAATATCCTCTAAGTTATGATCCTCTAATCAACAAGCAGTTATGATATTATGTTTTTTCTAGACATAAAATGAAGATGTAAATTTATGAAGGATGGATTACATTTTATTTATATTACTCCCTTTGGCTTTTAGTTGTTCAAAAAGGAAAAAAAAAAAAAAAAAAGAAAAAGAAAAAAAGAAAAGGCAAAAGAAAAATGAACACTGAGGTTTCAAAGTGAGACCTGGGTGCTTGAGGTGCTATGGCATTCTGTCTCTCATTTTCTCATTAATAAGTTAACGGTATTACCAACTGCAATTTGGAGCCTACCAAAGTAGGTTTGTCACTTTACAAACCCTGATTTGGTCAGATAACTAGTAGAACATATAGTATTGTCCACATGTATGGGGATTGAATGAAACATTTGGAACAAGATTAGCTTTTCCTGTTATAAATACAAAAGAACATTCAGCAAAATGTGGTACCAAGGTCTCAATGTCCTGAACTAAAGGCAAAATCTCCCAAAGCGATACAATGTTGTGTTTTGTGTTTTAGAAGTCTGGTCTGCATTGTGATGTAGTATCCATTTTATGGTAAGATATACAAAGATGATTGTATTTTATATATCGCATATTTACTCTGTTTGGTTAGATGAGATCATTGTTCCTTGGTCAAAGGATGGAAAATAAGGTAAAATCTATAGACGTACTCAACATACTATGGATGAGATGGAAATATATATCATTTGGCCAAATATAATCAGGTTGAAATAAGTATGTCATTTTTTTGTGTGTTAGGGTTTAAGGTAGGAAAAACTGAAATACAACCTTATTCAAGTGGTCTTTATGATTTTATCTTATTTATGCTTTTAACAAGAAATTGTTGTTCGTTTCAACAAAACATAGCTCCCAAGAAGATTGAAATTAACATGTATCTTGTTTTCTTTAAATGCCACCTTCAGATCCGTATTACTCGGACATACCATTTACCTTCTAAAGATGATTGAGGCATATGGATGCGGGTATTTCACTTGGGATGTTAAGAATTGTAAAAAGTGAGCTTATTGGTACTTCAGTTGCAAGCCATGTGAAACTATTTCAGTTTTGGTTGAGATGGGAGAGTGTCTATCTCTACTAGGGTCAGTTGGACTATGCTTGGAGCCAAATTTATGGCGCCCACAAGCCATGTGAATCACTATATGCAAGACAGTCTAGCAGAGACACGTGCAGGGCAGGGTAAAGGATCCAACTTCTTGGTGCATGACCTTACCCACCTCCAGTTGTATAGTGCCTCATGTCAGGTTTGTGGTTCATCCAGTTTTGAACCTTTATTTTATTTTATTTTATTTTCTGTACATTGGTTTTTTGTAGGATGGTAATTTCTTTTAATGGGTATAGTATGGCAATTTTGAATTTATTTGAGTGTGATGTATTTAAATCTAAGTTAAATGGTTTTGACTTTCTTGTTTTCAAAGGCTGAATTATAACTTAGCTCCTGATTTTACAAAAAATGAGATTTAAGTGCTACTACCATCTGGGTGATAAACTCTCAAACATGGCAACCAATAAGGTCCGATGTTGTTTGCCTTGCCACCCAAATAATTCTTTTTCGATGGTCAAGGTGTTACATACATCTTAAAACTAATTTCTCCTAGAGTGACTTTAAAGGAGCATTCTGAATTGGTTAGGTGAATTTAAGAGAATTAACTTTCTTTAAGTATTATCTTCAAAACTTGAATTTAGTTTTCATTTATAAAACGATATTAACTATGAGGTGAATTTAAAAAAATTAAAATTCTTTGAACGTTACCCTCAAAATTTGAACTAAATTTTATCTACAAGATAATACTTATTAGTTGGGTTAATTTGAAAGTTTAGGGGAAGCTATAATTCAGTCCTACCCAAATCATTACAATTTACAAGGTTTTTAAGCATCCCTAACCTGGCCAAATGGCATAAGACTCCCTACTCCATCTCACAAGTCACAGCCTATCCTGGACATACAGAACATGATCATAAGTCCCAGCATCACTTCGGCTGGAAAAATATATGTTTGCAGGCATTTTCTGTTGTCAAACCATACACGTCGTTACCTTGAAATTTCTCCTGATTATTATAGTTGGATAGGATTCGTTTTAGAAAATATGGCAAGAGAGTTAAGAGATCTATTTTGCTTATGACAAATTTTGTACTTTGCCCCCAACTAGTTTAAGGGTTTATTTGGCATAGCAATTTGAGGGTGTTAATTAGTGGTTTTGCAAAAATTGTTAAAAATAGATGTTAGGTAAATTTATTTATCTTAAAATTATTAAAAATTAGGTATTTGATAAAATTTTTTATTTAATAGTTTGGGACTAGTGAATATCAATTAAAATTCAATCCGCTAATAAATTGAAAAAACTATATAAGGTAACTTTTAGTACTAAACTACTAGTGGATTAAAACTTTTTAATTTTATTGGCAAATTTATCCATTTTAATTTTTTAATTTTTAACCATTGTTTTCAATGAGTATGCATCTAATCAATTTCGATTTTGTTTTTTTTATCTTTAATAAAATTAAGTGATTATTATATTTTTATTTTTACATTAATTTATTATAAAAAAAATTAAAAATTTTTGTACTTTATTTAAAAATAATATAATTATTTCTTTATTAAAAATGAAAACTAGTGTGTAATTATACTATTATAATTTGTTTATTTATTTATTTTCTCATATAAAATTAATAGTTTTAAGAATAAAAAATATAAAAAGAAAATAACACACTTAATTATTTTTAAATATATCTTTATTAGTTATTTAATGTTGAACAACAATCATTAACTATTATATAATCAAATAATTATATCAATTGAATCTATTATCTATTAATTGTTACCCGTTATTTACTAAATTTTAATTGTTATACCAAATAGGTCTTAAATCCAGTTCAACTGTTTTCTGGACCAGTCTCTTGTCTGTATTTAGATCCCTAAAAATGCTGGCGTTACCTTATTGTAATCTAAATGGTCCCAGAATTTTGAGGCACCTTGATTGCGCTACGGTTGAACATTCAACTCCAAGACACTGTTCACAGTTCGACTCTGTCCATATTTCTGATCTACTTCGTCTTCACACAGTTGAAGTTTCCTCTGAATTTTGTTTTAAATTGAAGGTCAAGATTGCATCTCAAATTATCCAGAGGATTAGCTTAGCTGAACGAAGATGTTGGTCAGACATCAACATTGAATGTGATCACTTGAAAATCTTACAGTTGGAATTTGTAGAGATTACAGATAAAAGAGTTCTATTCCCTTGTTTCGAAACTTCCACTTAGGAATGCAATTTACTTTGAAACTCAAGAAGTTCAGTGAGGATCCTTGTTGTGAGGATAAAAAATTTAAAAATATTCAAGGATAAAGGTAATTTTTTTCTTGTAAAATTTCATAAGAAATTTTTTTCGTGTTTTGAGTCCTATAAATATCAATATGCGATAAAAAATATAAAATTTAATTAAGTTTAACCCAACTCAACCTAAATTTATATTTTTATAAATTATAATATATTTATAAAATCATAAAACCCATAATTTATTTTAAATTTTTACTTTCTTTATATTATTTTTTTAAAATTCGTTAGACTGTATACATTTTTTATCTTAAATTTCTACTTTTCTATTTTTTTATATTATATAATACTTTTTTTTACAGTGTCAGTAAAAATTTTTACATGTTTTTTTACTATTTCAAGTTTTTATTTTTATACTTTATAAATTATTTTTTATATAATATTATAAAATTTATTTATTAAAAAAATAAAATAAAATTCTACAATTTTAATATTTAGTCAAGATCCACGTGCACATAACCGTGAAAACCTACTATTTCCAGTAAAAATAGGGACGGAGCATTTTTTACCCCGTGAAAAATCTCCGTGAAAAAATTCATACTTACCATTAACAGTGATGGAGATGTGGCGAGGTCCCGCCCAGGGAATTGTTACTATCTCTACATACACTCCTAGGGAGGCTATATATGTTCTCAATTGCTATGCAACCCAAAAAATAAAGATTTCAAGTCCACAACAAAAGACTATAGCTGTTTTGTCCCACAGGCCACAGCTCCTGCCTCCGTTAAAGTAGAAATTACAGCGAGTCAGAAAAACTTCATTTTATTTGTTGCAGAGGAAGCACATAGTTATCACCACACAAAGAAATGTTAAGAACACGTAAAATTGTTTGGTTTGTTTTGTTTTGTTTTGTTTTATCAATTTATAATTAATTAAGGAATTTGAAAATAAAACAATAATTAATACATTTTTAGTTTAATATATTTTATAATACACTAACTAAGAAATTATTAATTTTAAATTTGAATTAAATTAAAGCAAGAAAACTTAAAGTTATGATTTTAATGGTTAAAATTGGTAATTATTGGTAGATGTGTTGAATTAAAGTGTATATTAATCATTTTTCTTGAAGATATCAACAAAAATACTAATTTCAAACTTTTAAATAATAAATATTAGATGTTCTATCAATTATCAACTATTTCTAGCCAAAGCAAAAACATAGTTACAGTATTTTTGTGTGACCTTGACATTTATTTATGTGAACATAACATGACCCTTGTTTGATATAGGGTAAAACCTACTATAATCAAGGTGGCAGATTGTTGTAGTTAGAAAATTTTATTGCTTAGCAAATAGGTAATGATATAGAGACAATTTTTTTGTACAACCTTATTAAACAACTTTTATGTATTATTAAATGAGTAGATACATTCAACATCATGGATTTTAAATGAATAAAAAGAATAAATCATTTAAATAACATATAAGGTTATATCAAAAGATGATATAAAAAATTATCTCTAAATTATTTTCCTTAGGAAATTGATGACAGATAGAGGGTTTGATGAACTTATTTCCAAATTTTTGCTACTAGAGAATCTCTAGATCATTTGATTTCAAAAGTTGAAGAGAATGAAGATTTTAAACCTTCAACTTAAAGAGACTAAATATTGTGAGAAAATCTAAATTGACAGTCTAGAAAGTTGATAGCTAAAACTTAGTTAAGATGTGTTGTAGGGGATCTAATGGACTTCAACTGAAAATTTCAATAGTTGATACTAATCATACCTACACATTTGGAAGGTTATGTGAATACAGGGTTCATTGTGATCTCCATAGTAGTGAGTATTACGAGTAGATTCTTAAATAAAAAAAATCAATTATATAATTATATATCATATTGTAAGCTTACAATACCATGTGTTATTATAATTATAGTATTTTCGTTTAACTTATAAATGCTTCAAAGCACATGTTAATGGTGCAATAAATGTTGAATTTAATTTTATTAATTGACTAATTAACATCATATACATAGCAATGATGCTAAATTTATGTTAACTTTTGTGTCTTTTTATATTACCTTTATCCCATTTTATTGTCACATTTTTGTGTGGCACATTGGAATAGAAATTTAACAAACACTAGAAAAAAAAACAATTATTAGTCATTTAAATTACATTTTTATGACTAATTTCCCAATCAAGATCATCTTTCACAAGCATCTTTGCATGAAAATTATCGACTTCTATTTTAATTCCACCACCATTTAAATCAAGGGCATGTATCAATTGCTCTTCCAATCCACCTTTTCTAGCTCAATTTGCAATTCTAACATCATGAAAACAATTTTCATCCCCTCTATCCATGGTCTCATCTCAGGTATGTTTGTCAAGTCATATTCACCTTCTAGCTTCTCCATACAAGTTCCCATAGGTTCTTGTCACTATAAAGCTTGCACAACTAGAGACAAGTCCCCAATCGTATGTTGCATCACAGTTAACTCTACTTGTTGGCCTTTATTTCCTCAACCATAGCTAACCATAGCTCTAATACTAGTTTGATGTAAGGATAATAGGGTTTTTTTTTTGAACAACAAAAAATACTATATATTAACAAACGGAGTACAAGGGGTACCCCAAACCCATACACATGACAATTTGAAGGCATAATATTACAAAAGAAAGGCCTTCCGATTGGATACTTACAATTGGTGTCAACACCATAATTAAGTGTCGACACTAAACCGTGACGGATTTCTATTCACTTTAGCCTTTCTTCATCAATCGCTATTCAGATCATCAAAGGCTACCCAGCTTTCAACCCCAGTGGCATGCAAAGTTATTGAGCATGCCTTGACTACAGCTTAAAACACTACAGTCAAAAATTGCTCAATGAAGTCATTACCTTAGGTTGACATGAGCCCCCCATGAGCCTTCTTCCTGCATCAATGATAGTTTATGTGTCTCTTATCCTTCAAGCATTCCATAGGTTCAAACATCCAATTGCATAATTCAAAGGAATACCCTAGTGATCTGTTTTTGATCCATTGGAATGACCGCAGCTGCACCAGCTCAAAAATCCTATTGATGTCTTGTTCTTGGTTCTTGAAAGTCCTCTCATTTCTGGCAATTCATAAAGACCAGATTATTGCATAGCACACCGCATCCCACCTTGCTCTGTTGTTTGCATTTTTAAAGGAGGCTGGTTGTTGTTCAAATGAAGCATAGCAATTCTCAGCTCTAACTGATGAGATCCTCCACCATTGAAGACATTTAGACCACACTGAGTATGCAAAGTTACAATGGAGAAAGAGGTGGTTTGTATCTTCAATACCCCCATTGCATAAGGTGCAAGTAGCTAGGTTGAGATTTTGGACAATGCCTCTTCTATACAAATTCATCTTAGAGGGGATTCTATCTTGTATGGCTTTCCACACAAAGGCACATACTTTTATGGGACAAGCCTACACCACACCCTTTTATACAAGTTGTTCCTCCTCTCATGTTGGTCGCTAGAAAGAGCTTGATATCCCGATTTTGCTGAATAAACACCTTTATCATGCCTCCACTTCCATCGGTCTTTTTGTCCCTTAATTGGTTGGATGGTTTGCAGTAGCCTCCACAACTCCGACATCGAGTTTCCCTCCCAAGAGAAGATGGGTCTCCTCCATTTTAATGTCCAGTTCCAGCTTCCATTGTTCCAGTGTCCCAATTGAGAAATGCATTTAGTTTTATCT